TAATACATTTATTATAACATACACACATAGTGTTCAAATTAGGATATGTAATATATTCTAATGTTTTAAAAGAAGTCTCTTCTCAGAAAGGCTGCTTTTAATTGTACAGTTAAAAAAAAAAAAGCAAAAAAAAAAAAAAAAACATCCCTAAATAACTATATTACCTGTTCCAATTGCTTTTGAACCACACTTTGCTGTTCAGTCACATGCTTCAGCTGTTCTGCGTCCTCCTCTGGGAACTCCCGTCCAGCTTTTTTCGCAGTGCGCTGTTTTGCAGAGAGGGCCTTTTTAGATTTTCTGTGGGCCCCAATCTGGTCCTCTAAAAACTTCTGTTGCATTTGAAGAAGCTGTTGAGTTTCGCACATTTTGGCTTTTTAATTTATGCAATGGTGAAAACATTTTTTGGCAAAATACATGGGGGAAAAAAACTCAAAAAACCGTGTTCGGTATTCGGCCTTCGGGCCCAGTGTTTAATTTTGTTCGGTTTCTGCTTCGGCCAAGAATTTTCATTTCGGTGCATCCCTGTTTATATTGTATTTATTTACAGAGGTATATTATGTCACACTTCTCTAGTAAGTTTCGTCTGTGTGTGAAGACAGTAGCGCAAATCCGTGAATGAATGTTCCGAAGTGAAAAACTTCAACGGAATAAAGTTGAATGGAATTGAATTGAATTAAAGTTGAATAAACTTCAACTTTACTGTTCAGTGCACTGATGTCAGACTCATTTTGGATAATAAAGTTTATTGTTAAATTGTTAAATGCCCTGCCTCCATCATTACGTATCTCTGTCACGTCATTATAAGTGTTTGATCACCACATTTGAGTGATCATTGCAAAAAATTTGTTTATGTATATATATTCTGTTTATGTATATACTGTATTCTATATATAGTACCAGTCAAATGTTTGGACACACGAATGGGAAATTGTCCAAACTTTTGACTGGTATTGTACTATAATATACACGAAGAATATCGGCCGATATATCGATATCGGCCTTTTTTAACTCCCTAATTATATCGGTATTGGTATCGCCCCCAAAAAAACCATATCGGTCAGGCTCTAGAAAATACTCCTCCATCACTGTTTCTTCCAAAAGCTCCAACATCAATAACTCTAAACAGATAATGTGCATCAACTAATGCCAGAAGGACAATAGAGTGTGTGCCCTTATAGTTGAAATATAATGATCCAGAGTTTGGTGGAGCTTGTAACACCACATGTTTACCATCAATAGCTAGAATGCAGTTTGGAAAGTTCCACCTCTCCTGAAACTCTTTAGCGAATTCCACCCAATCTTGCGTTGCTGGTACTGGCATATATTCATTCACCAACACATCCCAGATGACCTTGGTGACCTCATCCACAATTGTTGCTACCGTTGAAGTTCCCACTCTGTAGCTGAGAGCTATGCTCTCCAGTTGCCAGAAACCTGTATTCAAAAAAATAAAAATAAAATAAATATTGGGTATCATGCAACTAAATCATATAAAAATAAGATATTGTAAACATTAACATCATGACATTCTGTAAAGCTGCTTTGAAACGATGTGTATTGTGAAAAGGACTCTACAAATAAATCATTAATTATGTATGTATAATTCTCAATCATTTTTATTTGTTTCAGTGTATTAACTCTTTTTCTGTTTTTGTTTTTAAACTGTTTTTCTCTGGATAGTTGAAGAAGTGAGGAAAAAATTGAAAAATCTCAGGGATAAATATATAAAAGAGAGGAGAGCCATGAAAGAGAAGAAGAGTGGGTCAGAAGCAGACAGCCAGAAAGTCTGGAAATTCTTTCACATCATGTCATTCCTTGAGCCCCACGTGAGAGAGAGGCCGGCAAGCAGTAACATGATGGTAAATGAAGAAGAACAGGAAGTTATTCTCACACTTGAGCCAGTGACAGTGCAGATAGAGCAGGAAGTGAGTGATATCAGTACAACAGGAGAGGATTCACTCGCTGAGAATGAAAACGAGAACAGCTCACAAATGCCTAAGCAAAGTTCATCAGTTCCTCAGGTACCAATGAAAAGGCGAAGACAGCAGGAACTTTTTTTTGAGTCACGTGTACTTGAAAAGGTGGATGAAATCTCCAAGCAGCTTAAAGACTGTGGCGATGAGGATGAACTCTTCCTCATGAGTCTTGTACCAGCTTTTAAGAGACTGAGCGAGATACAAAAATCTACAGCCCGCATTGAAATTATGCGGGTCCTGCATGACATTCAGTTTAAAGAGAAGTAACTCTAAAAACAGATATACAGTTGTATGTTCTCAGACACTGTTAGTAACCCAACTGATGGCTGATGTTCTGGGTTAGCTCTTTTGTCTAACCTAATGTTCTTATTTATGTAACAGGGAGATATATATATGCACACAAACTCATTGATTATTAAGAGTGCTTTAAAAAAAAATTTTAACATGTATTTGTTTTTTTTTTACTCAACTTACTAATAAAATTGTATTTTGAAGAAAATACTACAACAAAATACTAATAAAATTGTATTTTGAAGAGTTATCAAGTATTTTGAAGAGTTATCAAACTATAACAAATGTAATGAAGCTATTGCATTTACCTGAGGAGCGTTTATAATGGCTGTTTTGTTAACCTTAGTTAATGTTAACATTTTACTCTATTTGCTCCTCACGTTGTCTTATTTAATAAAATTCATACTAACAAATTGTTGTCATGCTTTTGAAATCCATCTTTTCAGAGCAAAGGCAGCGAGGGGTGGTGTGATGTCATTGGCAACAAGACGGCTGCGATACTAATAGGAGCCTAAAATGAAGTAAGTAGAATTCACATTAAACAAATTGATGGGCTTTAGTGTTGTACCAGATGTAATTTGTCATGTTATAAACAGTTATTTAACCCTTGTGCGACCTTTTGGACATTTTTGTCCTTTCAGTTTAGTTTTTTTGATAATTTTGCCTGTGTTATTGTCAACTGCATAAATTTTGGCACAGATGTGTATTTTTATTGGAATTTTACTATTTCACTTAAATTTCCTTTAATAAATCTGTTTTACACTCGGTACAAAAAATGGTTTCTCTCAGGACCTTAAAGGGGTCATATGATGCTGCTAAAAAGAACATTATTTTGTGTATTTGGTGTAATGAAATGTGTTTATGGGGTTTAAAGTTAAAAAAACACATTATTTTCCACATACTGTACATTATTGTTTCTCCTCTATGCCCCGCCTTTTTGAAACGCGTCGATTTTTACAAAAC